CTCTCTCTCTCTCTCTCTCTCTCTCTCTCTCTCTCTCTCTCTCACACACACACACACACACACACACACATATTTGGTTAAAACTCAGAGGCTTGGTATCAATGGGATTTCTTAAACTTTGCTAAGTTGTTTTCCTTTTTTCTGCCAAAGCAGGGTCCTATTCAAGTAGTTCTCTAAAATCCTATCACTGATATCTATGATGAGAAGAAAGGAATACAGAGGGCATAGAGGCTCACTGAAGCAAGATTACAAAAAACAAAGACAAAGAAGACTTTAACAACATTTTGCTATATTCACTGAGATCAGTGCTTTGTTCCACCATCATCAGAGAAGCTTCCTCCTACAGCACATGGGAATAGATACAGAGACCTACAGCCAGACACTATGTAGAGAGTGAGAGACCCTGAAACACCCTGCCCTAAAGGGGATGCTATCAAAACTAACACATCCTTCTGTTTGTTTGTATTGTCCGATGTGTTAATTTTCATCTTATATTTTATTGTTATTCCTTAGAAGCCTGTATGTTTTCTAATGAGAGAGAGAAAGGGCATAAATCTGTGTGGGAGGGGAGGTAGGGAGGAACTTGGAGAAGTAGAGTGAGGGGAAACTATAATTGGGATATATTATATGAGAAAAAAATCTATTTTCAATAAAAGAGGGGAGGAAAGCCAGGCTGGGAGGAGACCCAGCTTACCTACAAAAGAAAAATAATTGAACTTTTAATTTTAATTATAGAAGTGAAACAACAGTGTGTAAATTTTATCGTCACATACTGAGAAGCATATATTAAGTTAGAATAAAGACATTTCAAAGAGAGGTTTTGTTTGTTTTTCTTTTCGGTTGTGATGTATACTGAACCCAGGGCCTTAGACATGCTAAAGCTCAATGGTAGAGTTATCATTGAGCTGTATTGCTAAATCATCATTTTTCTCTTTTGATTTATGAAGGGACTTGCTCTTGATGATGTATTTTAGAGTATTAAATTACAAGGTTTAGAAAGAGGTGAGATTAAATTAATTATGTGGACTGGTGGTACACATGCATATACATTCATGAATGCATGTATGTATGTATGCATAGGGCAGATGTCAACATTAGTTATCTTCCTGCTTCACTCTCTACCTTATTTTTTTGAGACAAGATACTATACCCAGAGTTCATCAGTTTTGTTAGACAGGCTGGCCCATGAGCTTCAGGGTCCCATCTATTCTTGTCCTACATTCCCTAGTGCTGGGGTTAAACACACGTCCCACCTACCTGGCCTTCATGTAGATTCTGGGAATCAAAACTCAGAATGGTAGGTACTTTATAAATGGAGCCATCTTCTTAGCTCCAAAACAGAAATGGAGTAAAGAATGTTAAATATGCAGGTAATTCTAAATAAATGCTGATTTCCAGGAGTGGTGGCACATATCTGTAACCCCAGCATTTGAGAGACTGAGGCTGGAGAATCGGAAGTACAAAGGCAGACCAAGCTACAATGTGAAATTATCACAAACAGATATTGATGGTATGTACTTAAAATATCTAATTTGAGATATCAGAGAAAAGAATAATGCAGATACTACACAAGAATTCCAATTATCTGTGCTGAGAAATCAAGAATAGTTAACCATCCTAAGGGTCTGTTACTAAGGAAGAGCATAAAGATATTGCCCAAGAAAAATAACTAAACTCCACATCAGAAAGTGATCATACTAATATAAATCGACTGAATTTTCTAGTTAAATGGCACAGACTATCAGCCAGGAGAAAAGAGACCAGTACAGTTCACAAAATATACCATTAAAAACTTCCCAATGAGAAAAGCAAAGTTGAAAAAGGTATAGCAGGCTACTGTTGATGAGAGACCAGTCATTAACACCAGCTTGCTCAATGTGAATAAATGAAAAGGCCAGACAAAATCTAAACCAGACACATCTTAAAGATTCCTACAGATGTTGGGCGTTGGTGGTGCACACCTTTAATCCCAGCACTCAGGAAGCAGGGGCAGGTGGATCTCTGGTCTCCAGAGCGAGTGCCAAGATAGGCTCCAAAGCTACACAGAGAAACCCTGTCTCGAAAAACCAAAAAGATTCCTACAGATACTCTCTGCCTTTGGTTTTGTGTTGATACTTATACTGATAGTACAAAAGCAATGAATACAAGTCTTGGTACCTCTGTACAATGAGATGAGACAGTGCCATCAAAGACCAATATCACCACAATCTCCAGTGCCACACACTCTGCTGGAGAAAAGAAGACTCCATTTAAGAATGCACTTGCTCAGACTTCTGAGAACAGATTTTCAATATGTGGTGTAGCCATACAGGAAGAACCCATCGAGCACTTCCACTGCATACGTAGGGGCTGGAATAGCCCAGCAAAAGACAGTCTGTCTAATGTCTTCAGAAACCACCATGTTCACTTGATAGAACAACTGATAAGGCCACTGCTTGCAGCGATAAAGGAGACCAGCTAGAACTACCTCCAATGATTCCACTAATATAAGGTACAAAATGAGTAAAACTAAAGCATATTTTTCAGAACGCACAAGTAGCGAAGCAAAGCTCTTTCAATAAACCACAGATGCAGGGATCATTTGGGGGACAGAGAAGAATCATGACCTGGGACAGTATGAGGAGGATTCTGGGACATATCAACATTGTATTTCCTGAGCTAGTTTATAATTATTCATTTTTTCATTAAGTTTGAGCTAAAATACATTTTCAAAATCAGGAAAAGCTTCATTAGCATTACAGGGAACAATAATAAAAAACCTAAAATATTAATTAAAAAGGTAGTCTATATGTATAACTAAAGATTTTATAAGGAAAAAAACAGAAATCTACTATAGTACCTACCAGAAATTTAGCTAAGAAATAATTAATTAATCTATATTCTTGTACATGTAATAATGTCTCAAAATAGATAAAATAAAAATGAAGAACATTTTGAATAAACAGTAAATCTGTAATCGTAACATTTAGTTTAATATACCAATTGACAAGGGCTGGAGAGATAGCTCAGAGGTTAATATACCAATTGACAGATCAAGCAGACAAAACTGCCAGTCATGACAGAGAAGACTGAAAACATACAATTAGCATGCATGGTAATATATATGTTAAATATATGTACATATATATTACAACTGCATAGTAAACTAGAGAAGACATTCTTTTAAACTAATGATTATTTATGAATATCAGCATTTAGCCCATAAAATGTATTTCAGCATATGATGAAATACCAGAGAATTGGTATTAAAAACTGACACATTTTCTGATAGTAATATAATTAGGGTAGTTAAGAAAAATAGTCTAAAAAAGTCATATAAGAGATGCTGAAGTCAAACATTCTTGATTTTAGAGTTTCTTGAATTACTTATTCTTTGAGTTTTTTTTTTTAAATTTTTTTATCACAAGACTTGACTACATGAGAAATATAAAAGAATCTGGGTTATTCACAGCAGAAATGCTACTGAAGGAAACTACTATATTCGAAGACACAAGGGAATATGTCTTCACATCCAGATCACACTTCCAGGAAGTGCCTCCTTCCTGAAGGACTTGAGGAAAATTATTACTAACTGATAAGAGACTTTCTATTATAGGAAAAAGCTCCTAAAATCAAACAAATTCTTAGAAGAGTTAAATTATATAATCCACTTGAGAATGTGGATTAGAAGAACATGAAGTTACACCATCACATTCACCTGCGTTTTACAAATGGACAGAATCTGTCCTCAATAAAATCAAATGAAAAAATGTGCTAACCAACAAAATAATAAAAAGATAGTATGTTTTCCTGATTAAGGATAATATGAATTAAATATTCACTGTTTAAATCTGTCTATTGAGAATCTCTTAATGTCTGTGGCTATAAAGTCTACACAGATTGAACTACATGGTAACTACTTAAGAAATTGAAAGAACCATTGAAACTGCCATGGTTAAAAAGTGGCTCATACAATGACATGTAAAATAAATCATAAAGTCATAAATACTATTAACCATGTGTTTAAAAGTACACGTGATATTCTAATGTGAGATTTTTATTTTATAAGTTCTTACAAAATTTTAAATGATTATCAGAGAAACACTTTTAAAATCAATTAAAAGTTTCTCTTATTGGGAAGCAGCAGTACATTCTACAGAAAATGTTTCCCATTTCTTAGACAAATTTAAACAATTATTCCGTTGTTTCCTGTGAAAAGGTAGGCATTCCCTGTGCTTACTTGATGCAGAAACTTTCTCCAATATGTGTTCAAATCTAAAGTAAGTGTTTTTATAGTTTAGAGAAGCTAATAAAACCATACAGAGGTGATATGCCTTTTAGTATTGGGTATGACACCTTAAACACTTGCCCCTGAATTCAAGGACTTTTCAGGTGGAATTTCTATAGTTTGAAGAATCCTTTACAGGTTTGAATGATAGCCTGGGAAATTAAATTAACTGAGCATATTTTTAGCAAAGGGTCAGGTCTATTCTGAGTAGGTTCTTATGTGCTGGGCTAACAAACTGTTCTCAAGACAACAGAAATGTCACAATCAGAGCTCTTACAGAAATTTTCACAACAAAAGCACTAAGCTCACAGTTGCCTTTGTGTAGTAATGTAATGAGTAGCATCATATACATCTTTTTAATAGACCAGAGAAAATAGGCAGGCAACAGATTCAGAAAATGATAAAAACTGAAAATTAAAAAGTTTATTAACATACTTTTATTGGCATTGACCAAAGTCTAGATTTAGTTCTTAAAATACCTGTGTTCTTCAGGAAGCGAGCCTATCTGCTCTATTATTTTTGTATAATGCTTCATATATTGCTGAAAAATATAAAATTTCAATTACTCTACCAGAATTTCTGGTGGTACTTGTTCACTCACATTTATTTTAATTTACAGATACATATATAACTCATAAAGATACACAATTGCTTTCTATATTTTGTCTCATAAATTGAGAAATGAGTTTGGCTTGATTGTGTCTTACTGAATTCAACAAATTCCAAAACATTTTAAATAGCAGATATAGCTTTCTATAAAGAAATAACATTATCTAATATAACAGGTGAGGGCTATATACATAAAGAACATTTAAAGTGTTGTACATACACTATTAGTAGGAGAATGGTATCCATAAAGTTGAAGACGCTGACATAGAGCACAAAGGGCCAAATGAAGTGTCACATTTCAGAATGAACCCAAGTACAGCAAAAGAAAAAAAGAAAAAGACGACAATAATCAATTAGGAAGGGCAAATCATTATGCTACAATCTCTATAATGCACACACACACAAGTGAGATAAATGTTAAAGATGAGTAGCAAAGTTTTTAAAATCTAATATAATTAAACAGTAAATGAATTTGTGCTCATTTCAATCATTTTCATTGTACATGAGAAAACTACTGCTGTGAGTAAACATGTTCCCCTTAAGCATGTAGGTTTGTAGAGAGGTTCCAGGATCTTACATATGATGGGCTTGCTAGATTCAGCAGCATGGTGGTGACAATTGTATGAGAGGGCTGTTTTGGAACCCTACTCTCTACCATCATGGCTATGATAATAGATTCTGCTCACCTGTGAAGCAGTATTAATACTTACCTGGAGAAATGAGGACTACATGAGAGTACCATTTGTATGGTCTTAGCACAGACCTTAGAACACAGTGGCCATTTCAGACTTTTATTGACATGGAAGTATTTTAAAAGTTTGATTTGGATAAGCTAATTTTTGGTTAAAGAAACCATGAAGTTGTTATTAAGGCTATTAGCTAACATTTTAATGTTCATTTTACTATTATAATTATATATTTTACTAGTAGGTCGCTAAGCATTTTAGCTCATTTAATCATTATAAAATTACAGATGGTGACCACATTATTCTATCATTTCAACTGTAAAACTAAAAATACGACACAGAGGTTAATAATCTTGCTGAAGATTACACAGGCACAGGTAGTATTCAAACCCACCAAACCGGGCTCAAGAGCCTGGTTTACTTTCTTTTGGGGCTTTTTCTTATTTTTTTTACTATAAGGTAAATTTTAGTTGCTTCAAGCTCAACCTAATGTTTAGAACACATGTACATGTTTACAATAGTTTGTATCAATCTGACAAAATTTGCATTTTATTTGATCTTCTATAGACAAAAGAGTATAAAATTACTTCAGATTTTAAAATATGACCAATGCACTGAAACCAAGGGCTGTCACTATCAAGTACAGTAATGATGATTTTTTAGAGCACTGCACTGCTGAATGGTGCTGTCAGTAAAAGAATCACTGGAAGGAACATCTGAGAACTAAAGTAATTAAAGTGCCTTTGAGATCAATTACTGTAATAAAATCCTTTACATATCTAATATAGTTATACACAACTTAATGTTATTTTTACTTGTTCTTTAAAACTACATTTCTTTCCCAATATATTTGCTAGGGAATGCATCATTGATATAAGACAGATGACCTAGGATAAGATGATCTCATACAGATTTCATAATTTACCTAGACTTTGCCTAATTAATCCAAGTTTATGTGATTTACATCACTATTATGAAATACTCATTTATCTTGGCTTTTGTGTTGGCACTATAGCTTTCTCCTCTGTGTTATGTGGTAGTTCTCCCTTTCTTCATTCCCTTTGTTTTCTGATGTATGTATTTAAAAAATGCTAATGACTAGAATTATACTTCTAGTTAAATATCTGTTATATGTTAACAAAAACATAGCGTATTTCTGGTATTTAAGTAGCAAATGAATAACTGAAGATGGATAAAAGTACAGAATTCAGAGCTGGCCACCACAGGTTCAAATTGTGACTTTGACATTGAACAGTATTATAGCTTTGGATAAGATATTTAATTATCCTTAATTATATACAATAGGAAGGTTGTTGGGTAGATTAATTGACAAGATGCATGAGAAGCATCTACCCTTGTACTTGATAATAAAGACTTAGGTGGGGCTAATCTGTTATTTTTATTATACAAACTAGCCTGTTATGAAGACTGAACTATTTGGGACAAATAAATGAAGGCTGAAAGGATAAAATACTGTCATTTCTAACTTCAGAACAAAGCACTAATATGTAAACCAGAAGAAGAATCTATAATATTTCTAAGAAATGCAGAAAGCCCACATTACTTCCTTATATTTGCCATTCATTATGTTACATTATCATTAAATTCATTCACATAATTAAACCTTTGCATATTCACCTTTAAATTTTTACATGCATAATGATCTTATTAATCTATTATATGATATATACCCTTCAAATCTCACAGATAACAACAGTATGGATGAAAATGATTTAATGAATGTGACTGTGGGTACAGATATTTAATATCAATATTTAACATAAATATTGATATTGATGTATAAGATACTGAAGTAATTCTATTACATTAAATGTTCAGAAAGTTTTCAATAAGGGAAAAGATCCAAATTTTAAATGTTACACTGTTTCAACATGTACAAAATAATTCTCACCTGGAAAAACCCACCTGAAACTACTATAAAGTATGTCTTACCAGCATTGCACGTTTTTCTTCATCTCCTTTAGTTTCTCTCTTTTCATTTTTTTTCCTGAATATCTCCTGAAGCTATAAGGAAATAAATCAGGAACCGAATTCCATCAGAACTGAGGTACCTACATACTAGTCTATGCTAAGCACATACTAAAAATAAGCAAAATAGTTTCAACACCATTTAAACAATTCTAGATATATTTTCTGATGGCAGCATTTTTCACAAGGAAAAATACATTCTTTGGTACTGGCAATTCACAATTGAGTTAAATGTGTCTAATGTTACAGTTTCCCTTGATCTCCATGACACAAAGATAGTGAGTCTGAGGCAGACAGAAAGAGATGGGACCTGTTGGGCTGTAGAGAACATGGAAGCAGTCCTTAAGGACTCTGTTGGAGTCCAGCTTTGGTCTCACACTAATGTTATTTCAGGCCACTCAGTGTTCTAATTTGTTAACGTATGAACAAAGGACATCACCGGTAAAGTTCTTGCACTGTAGAGATTAGAATGCTGATATCATTCCTCAGATAGATTGTCTAAGGCTTATTTTCTGTACTTGGAAAATGAGGAAAATCTCTTGCCTTAGAGAGTGCTATATGAAATAAATATCACAACGAATTACCTAGCACTTTGCCTATTATTTCTAAATAAATGCCAGCTAGTGCTGTAAACAGTATTATTTATTCTTTAAAATTCTGTGAAAATGGAAGTCTGATCCTGCTTCTTTTACTGCAGTGGTCATGAGGTCCTTGTGCTCACAGATAAGCATTAAGGGAACCAAGAATGCTAAACACACAGGGTTGTCTCTCTTCAAAGGAAGGGATGTTTTAATGTTTAAAAAATAATTCCCTTTCCACCCAGAAAGCTGGGCTTTCTGGTTAGTTGCTTGGTAACCTTTGTGCTTTCTGTCTGGCCAGGTCACACCAGATCCTCCCCAAGACCCTTAAGAAGTCACATGTGGTTACTCTATAGAATCCATCTTTATGGAAGAGGCCACATGTAATTTACAAAGAGTTTTGATGTAGTCATTACTTAAGCTTTACTGTGCATATGGGATTGAGTTAATTATGATCAGGAAACTTTCCCCAAATGGTGCTGTGCTTACATATGCCCAAATAAACTGCCAGGTGTCAGACTCTAGAAGTTTGAACCAACACAGGCTACAGAGTCATGTTGAACTGGACTTCCTTCTTGCCTCATGTGGATCATTACTCTGCTGGCCATTTTGTTTGCAGAGACCCCTCTATCACACCCATATTTCATTATTCTTGTCTTTGGGATTTGGAAAACAATCTAAAATCGATTTCATTTTCCCATCCCACGAGCAGACAACATTCCAAAAGACACGTGCATAAAGAGCTCCCCTGAACATGGGTGTCAGCTAGGAGCACTGGGCAATCTCTGGGGCCTCTGGCAATGAACTAGGATGTATCCCTAGTGCACGAACAGATTTCGGGAGCCCATTTCCCATGGAGGGATACTCTCTTAGCCTAGATAAACAGGGGGGATTTCTACAAGTCAGTGTTGATGCAGAATGTTCAAAATTATTCAGATAAATAGGTCCATTCTGAAATAAAAGAATTCTTTATATGCCACCTTTTTTTTTTTTTTTTTTTTTTTTTTACTTTTAAACAGGAGAATATATAGGAAGGCAGGATTGAACATTGATATTAATAGAAGATTTTGCTACTCTAAGAAATAAATTAACATTACTTTTTATTTCAGAAAAAAAAGAGAAAGCATTTTGCCACAGTATCAGATGTAGGATATAGAAGTGAGAGAGAGAGAGAGAGAGAGAGAGAGAGAGAGAGAGAGGGAGGGAGGAGGGAGGGGGAAAGAGAGAGAAGAGAAAACAATTAGGAAGTGGAGATGGGAAAACACGTAAGCAACTACAGACTCTGTCAGACCATGTAACAGAAAAGGAAGATCAGAGGTCAAAGCTCTTGGTCAAAGAAAAGGAAGGGAACAAGGAAGTGGGTTCACACACCTAAGATATAAGGTAATAGTGAGTGAAGAGAAAAGGAAAGGGAAGGGTGAGTTCAAACTGATAAGAAGAAAAGTTCCTATGATAAAGAGCTGTGGCAAGGTGGCCAGTATGAGAGGAGCTGAGTATCAGCTGGATAACATAATCTCAGGAGTGATTATTAACCATCAAGTAGAAAGTATGTGACAAACTCCAAACTTCCAACTATATTCATCTTTAAAAACTCAATATAACTTATACTTCTATAATATAAACATTATTTGAAATATATACTTGCTTATTACATTCAGGTGAAACATCAGTTTACATTAATATTCTAACAACAAAAAAGATAACATATAAATAAGCAATATTTAATTATTAGAAAATGCAGTATATCATGTACATACCACCAAAAATTCCTTTTTATCCACCATCTCATTTCCATCAGTGTCAAACATGTTGAAAGCTATTCTAAACCCTGCATGAGGCTCTGCCAGAAAGAAAAAAAAAAAAAGAACAAGTTTTGATAAAATTGAAAAAAAAGGTATTTAAAAGTACAAAATCCATTCATTCAATAGATAACTACATACACTGAAGAAAATAACCAATAAGTGAAAAGCAATATGTTACTATAAGTTAAATACAGTGAAAGTTGTACTGAGGGATACATATTTTTACTTTATGTATTGCAGACTTAGTAACAGAACCCATAATAAGCTTTCTAAGTACTTGACTATTACTTACTGGATAGCATTAAAGGAAATATTTGACATCTGTCCCTCTAAACTAGGAGGTCACTTCATCTGAAATTTTTTCTGGATGTTCAACTACTTGAAGTGGCAGGAAAAGAGTAAAATACAACACAGTGCACCAGTTAAAATTCTTCAGAAAAATTTAGCTAAAATCACCTGTGGAATAAATGTGATCATGAGAGGGTACAGATTTGGGGTTAAACTTCAAGAAGCTTCAAAAACCAGAAACTTTTATAAAGTGTTTTAATGAGCAATTCCAGGCTCTCCAAAATCCAAGAAACAATTTTCTTTTTGAGAACGACTCCTATGTCCTATGAGCTGTAATTTTATGAGCCTTTTCCAGAAACTCATGCTTTTTTGTTTGGTTTTTCTTTTTTCCATTTCTTGATTATAAACAAGAAAATCTGGATGGAAGAAAACTTGGATTATCTTTCAAGGAGGAGCTCACTGAACAATGTTTTTTTAGAAAAAACTTCACTTTTCCACTCTAAAGTGGCTAGCAAAAATCTAAAGGCTTCCCCTACCCAACTAGTAAACTTGCTAGCCTGACTGATATGAAATCCTGAACTCTGCAGAGAAGCAGATAGCCCTACTTTCTTAACGCCTCATAACCATCTCTGGAAATATCAGAAATGGAACCCAGTCCCTTATGAGCTTATTTCTTGTAGGTATTTTAGAAATCTGCATTTACTTTTATCATTCATGAAAACTGACACCATATATGATAAACAGGTTTTATATTTTAAAAGATTTGAAAAAATATATAAATATGTATAAAATAACCTTTATAAGCACTGTCTAGAAGGGAAAAAGACTAAAGGCAAGAAGGAAGCGCACACAGGAACATACCATATACAATGTGCCCACTTCTCCATAGTCTCTTTTTATACTTTTATTAAGTGTAATCAAGTGACTTTCAATAATTTTTCTGTCATACTCTTAGAAATTGTCACAGTACTAGACAATTTAACCTGCCCATAGTAAGCAAACTAACTATGTGTTTTCCCTACTCCCACACCACACCCTGCCCCATCTAAGTGGCTTCCTAACCAAGTGTCCCTTTTAATTCTCATTATGCTGTTATTAAGGTATTTATAATTTGCATCTTTGTGTACAAAGACAGTTTTAAATTCATCTTTGATACACCCTTTGACACTCTGGTTTCATGGTAGGATCATCACAGATTAGATTACAGGTTCCAAGCTGGATCAATCTCAGGTGGCCCTACTATCAATGACAGAATAGTCATTTTTTCAACACTAAAATCTTAATCTTGTTATGAGAATAAACAATGTAAAGGAAAAATAAAAGATAAAATTTGTTATATACATGGATTCACGTGTTCATATCTCCCTTTTTGCTGCTATATCACTCACAACTAAGGTAAGAAAAGCACAGTATAAAATTTCTAAGCACAGAAATCAATTTTAAAACAAATTTTACTAGTGCTCTCGTTTGTATAAATTTCCACAGTTTTCTTTATCTGAAATTTCTTAGAGTAATATTCTAATTTTTCTTTTTCTTCATTCACTCAATTATTTTCTGAAAGGGTACTATGAATGAGACATTGTTCTTGATATATATAGATGGCCCAAAGGATAACATTTAACCATTACAGACCTTCTACTGCTGTCACAAGACTGACATTTAAGCCAATAGTTTAAGCCAACATAATCTAAGTTCTATGAAGAAAATAACACACGATGAAGGGATTAAAAGAGAAGAGCAAGAGAGCTATTTCAAGAGTGGGGCCAAAATTAAAGACTCAAAATTTTGCGTCAAAGGAACCCTGAATGATACCATCCTCAGGAAGATCTTTAGAGAAGCACTGATGGCAGAAAGAGCAGGGATTTCCTCCATATAGAGGGAGTTCAAGAAATGGACAGGCCAGGTGGCTGAAGCACAGTGAGCACATAATTCCTCTGCTGGATGAAAAGAAACTGAACCAAAAGCTCTAGTAAACCTTCCATATACTTCATAAACACTGCTGTGTATGTGCCAGAGAGAGTGAACCATGGCAGTGGACGGATGATGGGTATTTGGACAGACTCATCAGCAGTTAGGAGACACAGACTTGCTATTCTTTCACATTAGACTTGCAAAAAACCTGGTTTAAATGCATATAATAGAAATTTAATAAACCACCAGAGGTTCTTATCTTTAGGGTCTTATGTGGCTTAAACACCAAAGAGTAATATATTTATATATGAACATTTTACTATTGTCACAAGCCAAAGTATATAGGTTTTTGACTCTGACAGTGTTATATTTGACATTTTCCTGTGATATTTAGACATGAATTTGTACAACAGTCATCATACACATGAGGTAATTTCCAATATTATGTTAAGAAAGATATATTTTTAAGATTATAAGGAAAAATGCATCCATGAATAAATTTAACGAGTGTACTTACTTGTTAAAATACATAAAAGAAAAAGATATTCAGTGTAAGAAATCACACCTAGAAGAAAACAGTATCAATTAATGCTTTGTAAAACACTAACATATTTCACAAACATAAAAGTTATTCTACATAATAAAAACTATGAATAGGTTTAAGGCAATGCTAAATATTGTTTTAAATGAGATTACAGTTTTATAAAATAATTGCAATTTTTTTTTCTTTTTGGTTTTTCAAGACAGGTTTCTCTGTGGCTTAGGATGCTGTCCTGGAACTAGTTCTTGTAGACCAGATTGGTCTCGAACTCACAGAGATCCTCTGCCTCTGCCTCCCGAGTGCTGGGATTAAAGGCATGTGCCACCAACGCCTGGCAAATAATTGCAAATTTAACAAAATTCATTTTATTTAAATTTTCAACATGCCTCTACAAAATGTCCATTCATGATAAACATACTGGCAACAAAAGCAAAATTTAAACATTTATTTATAGTTTGACTTTTGTTGTTTTTTTGAGACAGGGTTTCCTTGTTTAACAGCCCTGGCTGTGTTGGAACTCGCTCTGTAGATTAGGTTGGCCTCAAACTTAACAGAGATCCGCTTGCCTCTGCCTCTGGAGTTCTGGGATTAAAGGTGTGCACCATCACAGCCAGGCTGCTTTAACTTGTTACTTGTTGTTAATATATGAAACTAACATAAAAAGGTCAGAAATGCTATAAGGAACATAGTCACTTTTTATGTAACACTTGACTAAAACATTTACATTTACTTTCTTAGAAATTTGATGTGTATTAAAAAATAAAACCTATACTTATCAATTTTGGGAGTCAAATGAACATTTACTACTTTATAACAGTTCTTACCCTTAATTGATTCTAAGGATTTTTTTTTTAATCCAATAGACTTCACTTTGTTTTCAGAATTGTGAGTTCTCTATATCCCATAATTACAAGTTTTACTAAGAATGTGTATGAAACTCTATTAACACATTTTTCACTTCTAGGCTACGTTTTTCTACTCTTAAAGCTAGAATTAATAGCTTAATTGACCCCCCAAAAAAAAGACTGAAAAAAATAAGTTCAGGAATAAGTCTACAATATTTACATAGATTGCAGTCAATGTTGATGTTCGGTAAAAGGTATGAAAAACAAACCACCTTAAATAGATTGTGGACTTAAAATCTCCACTTATCTGATGTTCATTGAGGCTCTACTAACTCTTTGTTACAGAACAAAGAGACTAGGAGTCACTGTCAGGCAGCTTGTCAGGGACATGAAGGGAACTACCCAGGGGCTAGGAAAGCATTCTCTTCTGTTTATACTAGAACACTGACCTAGAGACAGACAGTTCTGGATGACTGCCATGAACGTTACGGGAAAAAGAGTCTGAAATGGTCAATGGTCTTGAAGACACAATTACTTAAGAGTCCTCTTACTGTTCTAATTCACTTAATAGATAACAAAATATTATAGTACTTGAAAATGCCATATAATTACTGATAACTAATTCAAGATTTCCCTTATGAAAGGGTGAATTAACAGGAGGACTAATTGACTGCAGAGGGTCATGGCAGGCATTTTTCTGTAGGACCACCTGGCTACTGAGTTGGATTAATATGCACCCAGAAAGAGAGAACAAAGTGATACAATTTAAAGAAAATGGTCCTATAATTTAAGGAAAATGGTCAAGAAAAAAATACCGTTAAAGTTGAACTCTAGATTCACAACACTTCCTACTATAAACATAGAAAACCAGAAGAAAGTTAGAAGATTAACCCTTCGATTTATTTGAGGCTAACTTAAGTAGGACAAAAATAACATAAAGTCAAATGCTAGTATCTAGTAATGGTACAGTCTTTAGAAGTGAAGGATAAAGAAGATGTTAACTAAATCACAGAAATCAGGAGGTTTGGGCAGGATGACAGCTTTGGGCTTTTAAAAGAGACCTTATCTTGAGTAGAAGAGAGGGAGAAGAGATGACAACTAGGTTTTGAAAATTCAATTAAAAAATTTTAAGTATTTCCTTAAAAACATGATAGTGTTAAATTACTATTTCTTGATCTATTACTTGTTTTCCTATGTGTTACATACTACTTTTATAAGAAGATGCTTAATTTTTTTAGTGAGTTATAGCTAAGAAGATAAAATCAGTTTTAAATTAATATTTAGTAGCTTTAAATATTTAGTTTTAAAAATTTACCACGACTTAATCTTTCTACACACACACACACACACACACACACACACCAAGTAGTCAGTATTTCTCAACTACCTAGCAAGCTAGTTCTAACCTCTTACTTTTTTTTTTTTTTTTTTTTTTTTTTTTTTTTTTTTTTTTTTCTTTTTTTTTTTTTTTTGGTTTTTCGAGACAGGGTTTCTCTGTGGCTTTGGAGGCTGTCCTGGAACTAGCTCTTGTAGACCAGGCTGGTCTCGAACTCACAGAGATCCGCCTATCTCTGCCTCCCGAGTGCTGGGATTAAAGGTGTGCGCCACCAACGCCCGGCTCTAAACTCTTACAAGACCACGGTTTAATGATCTTGCTAGTATCAAGAATATGAGACAGATACAAAGTATCCTGTAGGTAATTAATGGACAGTCATAGTTATTTAAATTTAGACTAGTCCAAATAAAATTCTGTTCCTTAGTTATAGCAGCAACATTTGAAGAGCTCAATAAGCACAACTGGCCAATGGTTTTTATACAAAACAGAAAAGAAATACAAACAATTCCATCACTGCAAACACTTACTGAACAGTGCTAAATGAATATCTCCTCTGAAAAATAAACAAAAGCAGAGAGAAAACATAAAAGAAAATATGTATATAACATGCAAAGGTTTAGGTTTTCCAGGCTAATGTTTTCTTAGGTTAAAAAAAAAAAAGATTTCTTTCTTCTATGCATTTTTTCAGATTTTATTTTTTCCATTTATTTTTCCCATGAGATATATTAAGGCAAAAAAAATATTAAAATTCATTATACTTACCTATTCTTTTTGAGTTTTGAACATTTGCAAGCTATTATCTCACTCTAAAACATGAATAAAAATTTCTAACAATATTTTTGTTTTTGGATATGTCTTTACTATGTAGTCTAGTTTGGCTTCAAACTCAAAATCCTCCTTCTTCAGGCTCCAGAGAAGCTGAGATTAGTAAACTGTACCACCTTGCCCAGATCTCCAAGGAGAATTTTAATATACCCGAGCCAGAATTTAAGTTAAATTCTAGTTTTAAAAAATGTCCACAATAAAAAATGTCTGTTCCATTCATATTCCATGTGAACAATTGGAAAAATATTATAAAAGAAAACTGCAATTAAACCCAAGATATTTTTTGCTTCTTTTTTCCTTTTAGTCAGGGCATCATGCAGCACAGGCTAGCCTTGTGTATTCACTAACTGGAGAAGTAGCTATTATTCCCTAGATGCAAAATGGAATAAAGAAAACTAATATTTAAAGATTTAATATTTTTGAAAAGTATTTTCTATGAGCATATGTAAAATGCTTTTCAGTATGATTAAAAATGATGAAGCTAAAGAGTCATGAAGTATATATATTTGTATATGTATATAGTGATAACATAGTCCTTAATCACACTGACCAAAATAAAATTACCTACCCAGAAACATTTGCATTTTGTGACATATGTAAGCATGTATATGTATGTATATACGCATATATGCAAATACATACACACATATGTGTATATATACATATATGCAGACACACATACATGCAATTTTAAATCCATGTCAATATTAAAATGCATAGGCACTGAGGTTAGCTCACCTCTTTCTTTAAGACTTCGAAAGAGCTTTGATGATCCCTTCCAAACTGGTGGTGTTTCTGAGAGCATCTGACTTAATTCCTATAAAAGAAGGATTGGAATACTGATTAGTAGTCAAATCACTTTCTTACAACATGAATCCTAAAAAAAAAGTGTAAGCATCCTCCCCAGGAAATTCTCCTTTTAAATGATCAGAAATGTGACATTAACCATCTTATTCTACACCCGTGCTTTATTCCACTACAATATTTGCCCATAATGCAAATATCAAATAAATGCTAAAGATGCCATATTAAAGTTAATTAGAGCTAGTCAAAATTTCAGATAAATTTCCTAACTAGATGCATATTGCCAAGACAACTACATTAAGATAAAACAGCAAGCTTGAGTTCTGGAGTAAGGAACAAGTGATTGTTTTATAAAAGCCATGTGGTCTCCTCATTAAAATCAGGTGCAGCTGACTCTATATTCCTCTTTGCTATATGCCGGGATTTATCTGACTTTGAGCAAAAGAAGCAAATGAGCAAAGGAATATGCTAGGAATCAATGGTGTATTTTAATGGTGACTCAAAAAATATTAACACTGGGTAAACAGAATATTGATGTATATCCATCTTTCTAAAGATAAATTATCACTGCTGCTGAGAAATTATTGGAGAATTTAAACAGTTGAACCATTGCTTACATAAAAATTTTTGAGTAGATTATACATATTCTGCAAATAATAAAAATAACAAAGAAACAACTATAACATTGTTGTGAGGAAAACAAGTGAAACACTTTGGTAAAGAAAATAATTTAAAATTTAAAAATGACTTTTTTCAGTACATCTTTAGTAATACATTTTTAATGTAGAAGCCACTAATTCTAGATCTGATCCTTAATTGTCACACTGAGCTTTCCAACAAATTCAGCATCATATAAAAACGTAGGGAAATGCAGAGTAGCATTTCCTCTAACCTTCTGAACTAGACTTGTGTTGTCCCAACTTCCAGATGATTTTTATACACTTTCAAGTTTGAGAATACTTCAAACAGACTTTTCTGGTAAGTGGAATCCAGAAAGTAACTGTGACTTTTCTAAACAGTATTTTTAAATTGCAGAGCTGAGATATCAGGAAAATAAAGAAATCCTTGGGATGTCAAAAGCAGGAGCATTAGGGGATTTCCAGACTCCTAGAAGCCTGTGTGTGAATTTTAGCATTTATTTCCTGCACGGGTCTTCATCTGAACTGCAAGTAGCACATGCCAACCTGATGAGCAGTGTCCAATAGGGGATTCATGGCAAACAGGTAAGACTTCAAGTGTGAATGATACGGAGACTGGATATTTACTGTTTAGATGAAACTAAAATATTTTCATTAAATTAAGAAATTAAAGAAAAACGTTTAATATTCTTTACATACTTAAATTCATACAATTTCTGTTGTATGAACCTTTTCCCATCATGTCTTCTGATCTCTGTTCTGAGTATTGCAAGTAGGGAACAAACATATATTTGCTGAATTAATTTTACTTTCCTAAACTTAAAGGTCTTTTAAAATACTTATATAATTTTCTTAAGTGAGCATAGTTTCTTAATCATATAGTTAGTGTACACACACTCAAACACACACACACACACACACACACACACACACACACACACACCACACAGAGAAATTGTTAAGGTTTAGAAAAGAAAAATATCCAAAGATAAATAATCCAATTAAAAAGTGGGGTACAGAACTAAATAGATAATTCACAATAGAAGAATCTAAAATGGCTGAAAGACACATAAGAAAGTGTTCAACAACCTTAGCCATCAGGGAAATGCAAATCAAAACAACTCTGAGATACCATCTTACTCCTGTCAGAATTGCTAAAATCAAAAACACCATGGAGAAGTGTTTTTGCTGGAGAGGATGTGGAGAAAGGGGAACACTTCTCCACTGCTGGTGTGAATGCCAACTTGTACAGCCACTTTGGAAATCAGTATGGCGACTCCTCAAGAAAATGGGAATCAATCTACCAGCAATCTACCAGTGGAAGATCCAGCAATTCCACTCTTAGGCATATACCCAAAAGAATCACATTCATACAACAAAGACATCTGTTCAACGATGTTCATAGCAGCACTATTTGTAATAGCCAGAAACTGGAAACAGCCTAGATGCCCCTCAACCGAAGAATGGATAGAGAAAATGTGGTACATTTACACAATGGAGATAAAAAACAATGGAATCTTGAAATTTCAGGAAAATGGATGGACCTCGAAGAAACCATTCTGAGTGAGGTAACCCAATCACAAAAAGACAAACATGATATGTACTCACTCATATGTGGATTTTAGACATAGAGTAAGGGATTACCAGTCTACAATCCACACTGCCAGAGAAACTAGTAAACAAGGAGGACCCAAAAAGAGACAAACTTTGTCCCCCGAGAAGGGAAAAGGGTCAAGATCCCCTAAGCAAATTGAGAGCATTGGAAGAGGGGAATGAGAAGGGAAGAAGAGGAAGGATGCAGAGGTCATGAGGGAGCAGAAAGGTGGAGTCAGGTGTAGATTAGAAGAAAGGATATGCGATAGGTAGGGTTTTAGTTGAGGGGTTGATAAGGGAGGAGGGGAGGGAGAAGGGAACTGGGATTGTCATGTAATTCAATCTTGTTTGTAATTCAAATAAAAAAATAATTTAGAGAATAAAAAATACAAAGGAGACTTCAATTTTATTTAATATTCTTTTAATACAACTCTCTCACAGACATTTTATGCAGCATTTTATTACTGTAAATATTAAATCTTTATTCTATATATATTGTTTTGTACTTTACTCTTTGTTTTTTACATAATATGGACATATCTTCATGTCAATAATCTTTATTTTGATATTAATACCACTACAGTGGCTGTTTATGATAGCACTTTTGAAAGTCAGCTGTGATAACATCACTTATAGAACCTTCAGAAAAATCTGATACCTGTGAGAGAACGAGGCTGAATAAAATGAATAGCTTCTCAGAATCAGGAAGATTACTTTGATTTCCTAGGTCCTAGAAAACATCAACATCCTGCCACTTGCTGTTTACTCAACCATATCAGTTAGGTCTACAGCTGGATACACAGAGCTCTAACACTCGTTTTATTCTGTATTACCATGTTATCTGTGATATGCTGCTTTACAATTATTTGATCCATTACCCCAATGATTTTATTGTTTCTACATTTTTTGCTCTTCCATCAGTATGTCAGCCTTATATAGCTTTAACAGTATTTGATACATAATATATTATTTAAGCATAGTGATCATATATGTGAATGAATCATTGGTAAAAGATGAACAGTGTTGGTAAGTATCTATGCTGTCACAAATACTGTAAGTATTTTTACAAATTTGAGATTTTCATAGTACACATAGATAACTATAGCAGTATATTATGATGTATTCACCCTTGTAAGTATATGAAATATATTTCAATGAAGAGTACAGTTACTAGCCATGATGCTTGAGATAAAAAACATAATCCACCTGCAATTAGCTTTTATATACAATGATTATTCTGAGGATTAGCTTCATTTGACCCCACAGGGAAAGCATATTATTTTTACACATGATTGGGGCATCGGTCTTTTCTCTACTGATTTATAGATCTTCCCTAAAATACCTCTGGAATTTTCTATTACTTATTATCCATCTTCATCTAGTTAAAATACCCTTGCAATGATATATTTTAATTATAAACATACTATTAATCTTTATCAATCCTATTAATAGTAACCACATGTTCTCATCTCCATCACCTTTTTTTATTTCCTTTTCAGAACTATTATAAGTATTTTAGAGTCCTTACACAGATGTTTTAAAAAGTAAAAATTAAAATCAATTTTGTTGAAATTATATTAGAGTAAGACAAATATTAACACTGATTTACAGATAAATTTGGATATAAGTATTTTACAACTAGTTTAGTACCCATGAACATGATACTATATCTATTCCTTTCTTGAAAGGTAATTTAAAAATGTACTCGCTGGGCGTTGGTGGTGCACACCTTTAATCCCAGCACTCGGGAGGCAGAGGCAGGCGGATCTCTGTGAGTTCGAGGCCAGCCTGGTCTCCAGAGCGAGTGCCAGGATAGGCTGCAAAGCTACACAGAGAAACCCTGTCTCGAAAAAACAAACAAACAAAATGTTGTACTCACTCTTAAGTACATGAGGTGGTTTGAATGCAAATGGGTCCAGTAGACTCATCTTTGAATACTTGGGCTCCAGTATACTTTTGGGTAGCTGTGTAGGGAGGATTAGGAGGTGTGGCCTTGCTGGAGGAAGCATATCACTATGGATCAGCTTTGAGGTTTCCAAAGACCTATGCTATTTTGAATTAACTTTCAGATCAAGAAGTGAGCTCTCAACTCCTCCTGCTACCCTGCCTTTGCTTTGCCATCCTGGTGTCCTACCCTCCAAAACCCTAACCCAATTAAACACTTTCTTTTGTAAGTTGCCTTGGTTCTGGTGGTTTGTCACAGCAATAGAAACAGAACTAAGCAGACGTTGGCATTAGGGAGTGGGCTGTTGCTGTGACGTACCTACCCATGTGGGTTTTGGATGAATATGAAAGACTGGGGTTTTGAACTAGAGAAGTAGTCGAATACTTACAGGGACTAATGAGCCACTCTACTAGGAGCCTGGGAGACAGTCCTGAGAGCTATGTGGACCTTGGAGGCCCAGACTCAAGAGACTTTAGAGGGAAGCCAGGACTTTAAGAGCAATTGAACTAGAGGTCATTCTTGCGCTATTTTGGGAAAGAACATGGCTGCTTTCTGCCCTTGTGCTAAGAATTTTCCTGAGGCTAAATTAAAAAGGCAATGAACTAAATTCTATGGCAGAGGAGATTTCAAGACAGCCTAATATTGACTCCATCAGATGGTTATTTATAATCAATATTGTGCAGGTCTATAAAGAAAAAACACAAGTGGGGCAAAAGAAATATGAAATGCAGTTAGAAGAAACAAATAATATCAGATTTTTTTTGTTTTTGTTTTTTTGTTTTTCGAGACAGGGTTTCTCTGTGTAGCTTTGGAGCCTATCCTGGCACTCACTATGGAGACCAGGCTGGCCTGGAACTCACAGAGATCCGCCTGCCTCTGCCTCCCGAGTGCTGGGATTAAAGGCTTGCACCACCAACGCCCGGCCCAACATCAGAAAATTTAATGTTGAAGTTGTGCTGAAAGAATAAAACTGAAGAAAGGTCTGATCTAAAACAGAATAGAGAGAGTGGTGTCCTCAAGGGTAGGTCGCAAGTAGCTTTCAACTTGTGAAAGGAAAAGGCCTAAGGAACTCCCCTTCCTAAAAATCAACAAAGGAAAGCTGCTGCACATGTGATTCAAAGGGGCTCCATCCCAGTGGGCAGCTGAACCCAACAGCTTCATCTACATGGTTCTACACTAGTAAAGGGGTTACACAATCTTCTTCCATGAAAAGGGAGAACAGCTGAGGCCAGTCACTGTATGGCAGGGCAGTTCTGCATGAAGGCCCTGAAAGTCCACTGTGTGAAGCCGTAAAATGAAGCCTGGTTGATGTTAGAGGTGCTAGAGACATAATTATGTCCCAAGGAGAGCCACCAACAGGGCGTGGAACCATCCCAAGAGAAGAGTATGTTGCAGGGAGCAAAGCTGTAAGGGCAGAACCATTTCATCTCTTTGACACCAGACATTAAACTACAGGATTTGGAGTTTGCCCTTCTGGCTTCCAGTCTTGCTTTGGTTCAGTGTTCCCTCATTATGCCGCAATGCCTCCCTTAAGGAATGGCAATGTATATCCTGTGCCACTGTATGTTGGAAGTATGTAATTTGCTTTTGATTTTGTAGGCATTACAATTAAGAGATTGCCCTGAGCCACAGAAGAGATGTTAGAATTTGGACTTTAAGAACCTGGCTACTTGGAGACAGGTCCTTCAAAAATATCACTAATGCTATCATTTGAGATCCCCCTAAATTAGTAGAGGAAAAACCAAGTGGAAACAGAGTGAGACAATGGCCATAGAAAAGGAGAAAAGCCCTGGAATAAACCACCCTGCTAATGCTGATCTTAAGTTTCTAGTTTGCACAACAGTGAGAAGATCAATGAAGTTTCAGCCACTAGGCTGTGGTAGTTTATCAGAGCAGTCTAGAATTCTCAGCTAATGAGATATGTGTCTTTTCTAGCCCTCCAACTAGGATAGCATGTCACTTTATCTTACATTTAACCGTAAAGTGAGTGTTTCTGAAGTTTCACAAGGAAGCATGCATTTTCCATTATAAGCTTTTGAGAATTCCCTTTTACTAGTTAAGGAAGTTAAAATAGCTATGTTAAAAGCAGAAAATCATCAGTGTATTAGAAGCCACTTTGAGGCCTTCCCTGATAACAGTACCCACTGCCTGAATTTTATGTTAATTTCCCCTTAGTTTTGCCACCTGTAGATGTGTGCTTAAATACTGTAATCATATTTCCCCAGTTTTGAATTCTGTCTGAATGGAGCTATAAGTTTTGAAACTTTGTTGGGTCTATTACTCATGTGCTTGTTTTTTTAAAACCATAATGAACAGTCTATAGACTTCTCAACCTTTTCTGTATGTAACTGATGGTTTCTCTAGCTAGGAACACCAATGTGAAATGACTTAGTCATATTAAGCTTGACTTTCCTAGGTACTTGTGAATATACCATTGTAGAATTTAACCTCAGGCATTGACATGTTGGGTAAAGAGTCTCTCTCTATATATACAATTTAGTAGATAATTCTAATAGTTTAAACAAGAAACACTAATTTATACACACACATGACAATTAACCACTATCTTCAATAGTACATTGAACTGCCAACCTTCTTTATTTACTGATACTATGAAGACTAAATAATACCACCATTATAGGATTTTAATTTGTAAACACCACATACACATATGTAAACATATAATTATAAATAATCAGATAACGTGCTTGTGTACTTACACATGTGTGTATTGTGTGTACATGCATATGTTGTATACCAAGAGCTTTAACTTACCTGTTTAGAAAGTGACTTCCACGTTTTAGCAACTAAAATAAATATAAAATAATTAGATAATATTGTATGTAATGTTTATGCAATTTAGTAACCATATATAACCATAACTCAAAATTAAGCTCTTATGTTCAAAAGGCAAGTTTTTAACCTCAATATTTGAATCTAATATATGATATTCTCATGTTATCTATTTATTTTAAAATAAATAGATTTTTATTTTATAACTTATAATAAGTAAAAACAATGTCACAGGATTTTTTTCCTGTAACTGGATTATGGTTGGGCCCTTCTGGATCCATAAGGTAAGTTATGTTACTTAATCTTAAATATTTAAGGGACTTGAAGGACAAATAATGATACTTATAAAATATTCATACTGGAATCAGGTGAATGAGTATTTCTGGAAATAATTCATAGGTGAGGTCTGTCGAGGATAAAAATTATAGTGGCAAAGAGATGAAGAGCTAACAGGTGAGCTGGGAAAGTTCTTATCCAACTGGCATTCTTCCTTCTGTATACAGCTTTTCTAGAAGTATCTTGGAGGCAGAAGTGTATTAGGTGAATATCATTTTCTTGATCATGTCAATGATCTCAGCTTAAACAATAAAATGTGGGGCCAGATGCACAGCCCAAATTGTTGTTTCTCTTGTTCAGTTCTTCTATTGTAAATGGCTAAGAATTATCTCCAGGTTGGTAGTAATTAAGTCCTACAGTACACCTGCATTAGGAAAACTGGGTATCAATAGTTGTTTTACACAATAAGTCTGTATAATTAAAATTATATAAAATTTAAAGATATATGGAAGACACATTGCTATGAAACTCTTTCATCTTAAGATCAAAGGTGAAGACATACTTTTATAAAACTTGGAGACTAATTTTTCTTGGAGATCACTTCTCCTCTATTTTACAACAGAATCTTTCTTTTATCTAGTAGTATATATTAATAGGTGATGAAGCACTGAGATCACAGATTTTGCTTGTAATCTTACCTATGCTGCCGTACATATAATTCTGCAATGGCTCTTTTTAGTGGGTAGAACAATGAAATAACAGTTCTGGGAAAGTGTAAGAAAAATCCATAAAAAGTACACATACATGGACATGTTCTTATGCAACTCAGAAACTATTTATTCAACGAGGAAGTTAGATTTACTCTTGAGTTTGTGATTTTATGAGATTTCCACAGTAGATTATTAACAAAAGACATATTCATTCTGCAGGAAATGTACCATGTTCAATATCATTAGCTGTTAAAGAAATGGAGACTAAAGAACCATTAAGATAAGTCTTCAAAGGGTGTTCAACTTTCTAAATTCCTTATTTTATATGAAATCATAGTATAAAATATAACAAGTGGAGGGAGGCACTAAATCTATACTAGATTTAATATTAGAAGTATTTCATTTCTCAAGTTGTAGCCTGATGTTCATCATGTCTGTGATAAATTTTGTATCTGGTATATTTTAATAGTGTATTTTTAAAAATATAGATTAGAATGATTCTTGATGCTATAGGAAAATAACTACATATTCTAATCCTAGAAGAGAAATTTATCTTCCAGACTCTAAAGAAAAAAAAATAATTTCTAAGAAAGTTACAAACAACAGCCAGGCATTGGTGGCACATGCCTTTAATCCCAGCACTCAGGAGGCAGACGCAGCCAGATCTCTGTGAGTTTGAGGCCAGCCTGGTCTCCAAAGCAAGTGCCATGATAGTCTCCAAAGCTACACAGAGAAATGCTGTCTCGAAAAACAAAACAAAACAAAACAAAACAAAAAGTTACAAACAACAATGTGGTATATTTTACAGTTAACATTTATTTGAGCTACAATTACTAAGTAAATACTTAGATGCATTTTCCTATTGATTGTCATCATAAAAATGTTAAAAATCTGATTATGAATTAAAATGATAACAGTGATGACAATGACGACAGATCTAAAACTAGTTCTATGCTACTAGCCACACACAATTTATTCTCAAAAAATTCTTCATGAAGTTATTATTATCTTTATGTTAATAAAATTAGTATAGAGTATTGGAAAATAAAGAATAAATAACCCACATTATACCATGTCAATTAAGTCAAAGGGCTATAAATAGCCTTATAATTACTGTTTAAACAGCCCTACTTAATTTTCAGCATTTCTGCCCTATGCATTTCCAAAGTGGCTACTGCAAATTCACTACTTCTGTCTTGATATTGTGTGTGTGTATGTGTGTGTGTGTGTGTGTGTGTGTGTGTGTGTTCAGGACTTTTCCTCTGGTCAAAACAACTTCTACTTTTAAATTTTTGGAAGGGTAAAATCTTGCATATCAAACCTCTGCCTCAAATTCCAATACAGCTGCATTTGCTTTCCCTGTCAGAGTCAAGCATCTTAAACAGGTAATTGTCAGTCACTGTCTTCATTTCCTCATCTATTATTCCACTCTGCAACCTAGTTTTTGTCCTAGTCAATTCCTTGAAATGTCAGTTTTAAAAAATCATCAGCAACCGTCATCTTACTAAGTCTGGAATACACCTTGTCCTTATCTAACTTGACTTCCCAGCAGTGTTTCATTCACTTGACCACCCTAACTATTTCCTTTGCCTCTATGACTGTACCATTCTGGTTTTTTGTTTGTTTTGTTTTTTCTTGTGTCTCCGGATAGTCCTGGGTCTACCCTTTTCTAGCATTTGTACACTCATTTTTTTGGAGTGTAAGAGTTCCTCAACGATTGGCTCCCAGTTATGGAAAACAGTATAGTGTTTCTCTGGACAATTTCAATATACATAGCTACTAATCATGTACAGACAAATCCCAGTGTTTAGACTTCTCTCGCATCTTCACTGCCAAGTATTCAAAGCATCAGAAGTCAACTCATTGAGGGTTGTGATGAAACTCAGCATATACAAAGCCCTGCATCCAATGTCCAGCACTGAGAGGGAAGAAAGAATTAAAAACTAGTCTGCACAATTTTGACAAATTATTGAAAAAAATGTAATGTTTGGTTTTGCTCTGGAGTAAAATGGCTATAGTTGTTCTGGTATAAAGTATCATACAGTTTTATGAGAAACTAAAGCAAATGTTAGCCAATTTGTTGGTGCATTAATTTTTAGTTATCTTTCAGTGAGCTGAAACTAGAGAAATCCAACTTGTACATATTTGATGTATCTCAAATACATCAGAAAAAATTGAGTGATGTTTATCCTCTTCAACCTCATTCTTACAACCCAGACATCCAGTTAATCTAGCCTAACCCCCTTCATACTAGAGAATCTTTCAATACCATTTTTGGAGAGATTGAAAGCCTGAACTACCACTGGCAAGTTGTGACAGTGTTAAAGGAGAATACCCAAGATCAGAAGAAAGTGTCCTCCCTTTCCTGACCGCCATTGTCTGTGAGGGGGATTTTCTTTCTACACTTCATTGGAAAGAACATACTAAAACGAGCTGGATACAAAAGTGTATAAAGAATCTTGCTACCTTTGACTAAGTAAGTTACGAAGCAACTGTCCAAATGTTTGAAATCCACTCCTTTAACATATGGAAAACTGGGGAAGAATTAGCCCATCTTTATTCTTCAGGAGGTAAGACAAATGCAGAAGACATTAAAGCAGAATTCTTGAGCAAGGATAACTTCAATGCCAGTCCTCTAAATTACTTTATTCACTATGGACACAAGATAATAGGTATAACATTGATTTCTTCTAAGAATATCTAAAGTAAGGTGGTATTTATGGGAGTGACTCAAATTTTCTGTAATTTTCAGTCTACAAGCATTGCATAACACAATAAATTCATAGAAGTTACATAGCTTTTGTTATGTCTTCTAAAATATGTATACTGTTTCATATTTTTACAAATAGAGATTTTTCTCTTCAAAGTTCTTTTTTATTGTCATCTATTTAACCTGTTGAGAACTGCTTAGTAAACATTATCTTTACCACCATCTTTGGAAGTGTTTGAAAATTATCATGATACTATTAATATACTAAAATTATTATGAAGGTAATTTAGAATCTTTACTTACATTTGGGCTCATCTGTTGTAACAGCCAAAATAAAATCATATGGAGTCATGAATAACTGTCCTTCACATTCTATAGATGCAAATAAACGAAATCGTTTCTCTCGAGATGTAGCATAGAGGTCCAAATCTTCACTAACAACTCGGCCAGTAGCAACCTGCAGTTAAGAAAGCAGGAAAATATTAACTGGGAGAAGCACCACCACCTTTAAGAAGACTGATGCTTTTAAACTCTTAGAAGTAAATTACTCAAGTGAATCTAAGAGTGAAAATTTCCCTTTTTATAACCTCAATCCTTTCATAATACCTCAATCTCTTCATAAGCAAATTTTTTACAGAAATAAAATGAATTAATGTTCTTTTCAACTTTTTAAAAATTTGAATTAGAAACAGGATTGTTTTACATGACAATCCCAGTTCCCTTCTCCCTCCCATCCTCCCCTACCTGCCCCAACTAAAACCCTATCTATCACAAATCCTTTCTGTTCCACCTGGATGGTGAGGCATTTCAGAGGCTGTCATCAGAGTCTACTATATCCTTTGGGATAGGGCCTAGGCCCACCACTGTGTGTCTTGGCTCAGGGAGTATTCCTCTATATGGAATGGGCTCCCAAAGTCCACCCCTATGCCAGGGATAAGTACTGAACTACTATAGAAGGTCCCATAGATTTCTGAGGGTTCCTCACAGAAAACCATGTTCCTGGGGGCTGGATCAGTCCCATGCTGGTATTCCAGCTATCAGTCTGGGGCGCAAGAGTTCCCCGATGGTCAGGTCAGCTGTTTCTGTGGGTTTCACCAGCCTGGTGTGGACCCCTTTGCTTTTCACTCATCCTTTTCTGCGACTGGATTCCAATTCAGTTCAGTGATTAGTTGTGGGTGTCTGCTTCTACTTTCACCAGCTGTTGGATGGAGGCTATAGGATGGCATATAAGACAGTCCCCATTATCAGGGGAGGGCATACAGGAAGCCTCTCCTCTGTTGCTTAGATTGTTAGTTGGTGTCATCTGTGTAGCTCTTCAGACATTTCCCTAGTACGTGATTTCTCTTTAAACCTAAAATGTCTCCCTCTATTATGGTGTCTCCTTTTTTGTTTTCTTCTATTCTTCCCCCGACTCAAACTTTCTGCTCCCTCATGTCCTCTGCCTCCTCTCCCCCTTTCATTCTCTAGCTCCTTCCCCCGCCCCCTTCCCGTGCTCCGAATTTTCTCAGGAGATCTTGACCCTTTCCCCTTCTCCAGGGGACCATGTATGTCTCTATTAGGGTCCTCCTTGTTTATTAGCTTCTTTGGCAGTGTGGATTGTAGGCTGGTACTCCTTTCCTCTATGTCTAAACTCTGCATATGAGTGAGTATATACTATGTTTTTCTTTTTGTGATTGGGTTACCTCACTCAGAATGGTTTCTTCCAGTTCCATTCATTTTCCTGCAAATTTCAAATTCCATTGTTTTTTTCCACTGAGTAATACTCCATTGTGTAAATGTACCACATTTTCCCTATCCATTGTTCCGTGAGGGGCATCTAAGCTGCTTCCAGTTTCTGGCTATTACAAATAGGGCTGCTATGAACATCATTGAACAGATGTCCTTGTTGTATGAATGTGCTTCTTTTGGGTATATTTCTAATAGTGGAATTGCTGGATCTTGTGGTAGACTCATTCCCATTTTCTTGAGGAGTCGCCATACTGATTTCCACAGTGGCTGTACAAGTTGGCACTCCCACCAGGAGTGGAGGAGTGTTCCCCATTCTCCACATCCTCTCCAGCATAAACTGTCATTGGTGTTTTTGATTTCGGCCATTCTGACAGGAGTAAAATGGTATCTCAGAGTTGTTTTGATTTGCATTTCCCTGATGGCTAAGGATGTTGAACACTTTCTTATGTGTCTTTTAGCCATTTTAGATTTCTCTATTGAGAACTGTCTATTTAGTTCTGTACCCCACTTTTTAATTGGATTGTTTGGTGTTTTTGAGACTAGCTTCTTGAGTTCTTTGTATATGTTGGAGATTAGCCCTCTGTCAGATGTGGGGTTGGTGAATATTCTTTCCCAGTCTGTGGGCTGCCGTTTTGTCTTGCTGACTGTCTCCTTTGCCTTACAGAAGCTTCTCAGTTTCATGAAGTCCCATTTATCAATTGTTGACCTCAGTGTCTGTGCTACTGGTGTAATGTTCAGGAAGTGGTCTCCTGTACCAATTAATTCAAGGGTATTTCCCACTTTATCTTCTAATAGCTTCAGTGTAGCTGGATTTATGTTGAGGTCTTTCATCCATTTTGACTTAAGTTTTATGGAAGGCGATAGGCTTGGGTCTAACTGCAGTCTTCTACATGTCTGCAACCAGTTATGCCAGCACCATTTGTTGAAGATGTTCTCTTTGTTCTATCGTATAAATTTGGGTCTTTTGTTTCTCCATATAAAGTTGAGAATTGTTCTTTCAAGGTCTGTGAAGAATTGTGTTGGGATTTTGATGGGGATTGCATTGAATCTGCAGATTGCTTTTGACAAGATTGCCATTTTTACTATGTTGATCCTACCTATCCAAGAGAATGGGAGATCTTTCCATTTTCTGGTATCTTCTTTAATTTCTTTCTTTAGAGACTCAAAATTCTTATGGTACAAGTCTTTCACATTTTTGGTTAGTGTTACCCCAAGGTATTTTATGTTGTTTGTGGCAATTGTAAAGGGTGATGTTTCTCTGATTTCTTTCTCCACTAATGTGTCATCGGTGTTTCGATAAATCTTTCCGCCAAAAGCCACCGAGCCCCACCACCATGCGGGTGGTCTCCGCCAGCTGCCCCAGTTCTGCCCGCCGAGTGGATGGATAAAATAATACAGAGACATATTAGGTACAAAGCTGCTTGGCCAATGACTAGGATTCTCATCTGCTAGCTCAGTCTTAATTATCATAAATCTATATATTTTATGAGACTTATCTTATCGGACGTCCCTCCTTGCCGGTGGATCACATTGCGCCACTGGAGTTAGAGCCGAGGGGAAAAGGGGACACTTCCTGTTTCCTTTGCTTAAATATGAGTCTCCTTGCTATGTCACTTCCTGCCTGGATGACCACTTCTCTACTACATTTCCCAGAATCCTCTTTGACTCCTAGTCCTATCTAACTTGCTCATTGGCCAAACAGTATTTTATTCAATAATCAACAAGATAAACATACAAAGAAGTACATTCCCAATCAGTGTATAGTAGGGCTACAGATTTTTTTGAGTTAATCTTGTATCCTGCCACATTGCTGAAGTTGTTTATCAGCTGTAGGAGTTCCCTTGTAGAGTTTTTCGGGTCACTAATGTGGACTATCATATCGTCTGCAAATAGTGAGAGTTTGACTTCTTCCTTTCCAATTTGTATTCTCTTCATCTCCTTTTGTTGTTTTATTGCTCTAGTAGAAATTCAAGGACAATATTGAAGAGGTATGGAGAGAGTGGACAGCCTTTTCTTGTCCCCGATTTTAGAGGAATTGGATCTGGGTGTGCTTTACAGACAAGTGCACAGCAATGATGCGCAAAGCATAGAAACCACCCTGGGAGGGCCTATGGGCCATAACAACCAATTGGCCAATCAACACAGGGCAAGCCCTCCAAGCCTGGAGGCACACCAATCCTGAACCTGTGCATACCCCTAGACACTCCCCTTACGCTGCCCTACAAGATCTCTCTGCGGCCCCTTTGAGCTGTCTTTTTGAGCCATCCGCAATGGTGGGTGGGTGAAAGACCTGAGATAACATGGGGTTAGCTCGTTAAACAACAATAAAGCCTCATGCAGTTTGCAGCAAGCTCTCGAATCCGCCTGGTGATTGGGGTGACCGAAGTCCTGGGCTGAGACCCCGGAGGCCTGAGTTTTCCGGGGGTCTAACTCTGCAAGTTTTTCCTTCCATAATAGTTTTTCAAATGGAATTTATAAAAGTCAAAAGTAACAAGAACAAATGGAGAATGAATAACTTTACCAGTTTATATATCAACAAATTCTGAAGAAGGAAAATTTAGATTTTTATATTTGAATGATGTAAGGAAAGCAGTTAGTTACTATTGGGTACTCAGGTATAGAGAAAGCAGTAAGTTGCTGGACAAAAAAGACAAGTATAGACATAACTTGGAAGGGGCTGAAAGTTGGCAGGATACAGAAGCAATTTCACAAAGGGTCTTAGAAGCAGTAAAGAGAATGAAAAACCAGAGAAGGGTAGCTGAGGAAGATGTGGCATAGGGCTTAATTGGCATAGACCCCAGCCAAGTGTAAGACGAAGCTCTGAATCTCAGCCAGGATACAGGTGAGGCTCAGAGGTTCAAGTAGCATGCAAACTGTTGCAGTTCACTTTTCAGAAATGAACAAACCAAACCAGGAGAGCATCCTGGGTCAGGAAGAAATTTAGTCTTTGGAAAATTAGCATAAGGTCACTGGGGTACAAGAGAGGAATTCAGGAACTTTCTTTGGATATAAAACCGGGACCAAGTCACAGGGATCAACAAAGTTTCAATGGCCTCATGAGCAATGAATTCACTCCTTATATATTCCTATTAGCCTGGGTGTTTGTGGTGAAGTTGGCACTACACCTGAAAGTTAGGTGAATTTTCATACTAGGAGAATATAGTAAACTAGTCAAGCTGACAGAGTTAATTATCTTCATTAAAATTTCGTCTCCTTCCCCAATGATAAGGGCCCTTTTCAGTTAATCACTTCGCTATCTGGTAATTGGTCTCAATTTTTTAAATGTAATAATCACTCAACTCGGACTAAGAGAATTCATTCCTCTATTATCTATGGATCCAGAAGGATATGCTTGGACTAGGGTTGAATGTGGGCTTAAGGCACTGTGCTTCATGTAGCAATTCATAGACCCAGTATAACGATGACTGCCACAATCCATCAAGGAGAGGGTGAAAGATGGCAAGGAAGTTCATGTGAGAAGCACTTATGGTCAGGACTAGGAGAGGTAATCTGCCCCTGCTCACACTGAACTGAAGAGAGTTTAGTCACCTGTCCATACAAGTGTGTGAGATGCTGACAAATGAAGAGCGATCTATATCCTAACTACTACAGAGGGAGAGAAGAGATCATGGCTAACAGTTCTCATTCTCTGTCACACTACCTTTCGGAATATCAAGTACTCATGTGTCCAGACACAGTCCAAGAATGAAGTCATATGAGAATTTTGAG